ATACTGGACACAGGACAGAACCCAAAACACTAAGACATAAACCGAGACACAGGACTGGAACAAAGACAAAGAACTGAAACACAGGACCAAGAGCCAAGATAAAAATGAGACATAAACTACTAAGGACAAGGAACGAGAGAAACAGGAAACAGACATACGAACAAATGGCAAAACTCAAACTCACAAGGAAGAAACTACAACTCATAACAGAAAACACTGCAGACTGCTGAACGTTAGCTCAGTTTAGCTGCTCAGTTTGTTTTTAGTTCAGGATTCCTTCGGATCGTTCAGGAGGTTTCTACCTAATAAACAAAATGATAATTATCACAATATAACTTTCCCCAATAACAAATAACTAATGTTCGATTTTTTTATTCTATTTAATACATTTGAATCACGAACGAATAAGCACTAAAGCACTTTTCTATTATTATGTTGAGGAAATGGACTGAAACAAGATTTTACTCATCATTTTGTTGAAAACAGATTTTATCAGAATAGTTCTGAAGTTTCTGCCTCAGATGTGTGAAGTGATCCTCTGTTTGTTCTGAGCAGAAAGAAACCATTAACTTTCACTCAGGAGCAAAAATCCACCTTTAAACCTGAAAGAAACGATGATTTTACATTGAAGATAATTATTTATATCGAATGATTTATTGTTATTTTTTGGGCTGGAACCATGTGGTATGAAAGGGGCTTAAAACAACACGGAGAAACGTGACAGTGTGTTTGTGTGCGCTGAGCTGAGCCTGTGTGAGATCGTCTTGCAGCTCGCCGCCGCCGTCGCTCTGTCGTCGTCAGGTTTTTTCACACTGAAGACTTTACACAAGCTGCTTTGTTCGTCCCCGCAGAGCAGGTGTGGTGTCAGCTAAGCCAACAGTGCGGAGGCGGGTGACGACAGGCCGCCGTGTTCACACCTCCTCCGCCGACGCCACAGACCAACAACACGCTCACTGAGGCTGCAGAGATCACAAACACATCACGGGAACTCAAGTCACCTCGGGGAGCGAACAGAGGCTCACATCCCGTCAGCAGATTAACCGGGACACAGTCACACACCATCGGAAACGCTAGCTCACTGCTAATGCTACCTGATACAAGTTTAATAAACACCAGCAGCAGTTTGATGTTGGGTCTTTACACTCTTCTTCTTCTCTGCTTTTATCAGCAGCAGCTGTTCACCTGTCCTTGAGCCCCGCAAGGTCGTTTTAATAAGCTCACCAGCAATCAATACACTGATTTACAAATTTCATCAGCGACACATCCAGAACTTCTGCTCGTGTCAGAGGGGCGTAAATCCACTTCCTGTTTTCACCCTGACCTCTATCTGACCGTCACATGTGGGTAAATTGTTGCCATTGGTCGGGTGATTGCCGCGCCATCCGCCATCCGCCATAGTGGTGGCCGCACAACAGAAAGCGTATTGTTGCGATGGGCGCACCCGCCTGCGTCACGCACGCAGCTCTGGGAATATCTGTGGCGGCGTTTCTAAGCAGACTCACCAGAGGCGGAGGCCCGGCCCGTCCTGGCTGACGGCCTTTGGCAGGTAACGGTCGAAGAATCACTGATTATTAGAAGCGTCACTCGGTTTTATTTTCATGTGCCAACAACAAGAGACACACCGCTTAAAGAATCCTGAATAGAACGCCAAACGGTAAAGGCTTCAGGTGTGATCTGCAGTACCTGCAGAATGTGTTTGAAAACACCGGGCTGCTTTCTACAAACGTGTACGGCCTCCAACAAACTCATTCTGAAGTTCCACACGCTCGCACAACCACCAACCAATGGACGCTTATTTTGATTTCCCCAGTATCTCCAGGCGGAGGGAAGTCCTGCTCTTCTCATTCAGGGGAATCCAATCTCTTTTTTTCTGTATCCATAACCTCAGTTAGCTTAGCATCTGTTCAAGGTGGGGTGAGCTCACGGCGTCCCGTCCCCGGCGTGGCGCTCCGGATTGAGCCGTAAATAAAGGCGGTGTGGTGAAAGCTTGTGCACACAAAATAAGGTTTTTTTAACCTTATTTTGGGGTAAGTCATCAAACTGTTTCAGATTTTCCTGCTGATTCTGCAGGTTTTATTTCCCATGACCACAGAAAATGCAGTTCTGGCTTTCTGCCCAGAGAGACCTGATCCTGTTAGTCCCAGATACCTAGAGGCGTCACCAACATGGCTTCCGAGTGGCAGGTGTAGAAGGACTTTGGTATTTCTTTGTTTGCTTGCTGGGATCCAGAAGAGGGATTTTGTTGAGTGTGGACTCTAGGGGAGGTTTGAACGGGGGTAAGGACTCGTTCTTCGGTGGGTTTTGTGTTTGTTGTCGTTGTGGTTGTGATCGTCATGTACGGAAACACATGGGTCCTCGGTGCACGCAAACATGCATGTCATGTTAAACACTGAACACTGAATGACAACATTATTTACACAAAGTGACGCCTGAATTTAGTGCAGAGACTTCAAAAGTGCCGAGTGGCAAAAATAAAATACTTCCAAAACGACCACTCACCCTGGTTGTAAGTGAACGATAGATATCATAACGCAAGCTGAACTGAAAAGGCCTCGTTTGTGAAGTGAGTTTGTGAGTTTTTTTATTTTTGGATAAACTTGAAGTGAAACTAACGGCTGCTTTAAAACCACAGATTGTTCATATTGAGACGGTTTCAGATATCAGAGAGACAGAAAGTCGAGTCAGTAGTGTGGAACAAAATCTCACGGGGACCAGTTCTGACCACAACACCGGGCCCTTTGTTCACATCTAAAACAAAGACTTTTTCTTCAGACAACAACCTGCCATTATTTACACTTCCTCAAAATAGCTTCACTTCTGTAGAACAAAATTAAACAAAACTGGCAAAAAGCAAAAGGCTGTGGAGGTTAAAACCATCCACAGTTTGTTAAACAGGGAGGTGTTCCTGTTACTTTGCCGACTCTCGTTAATAATAATGGGTTAGGGGTTAGTAAAAAAACAAAATAATGCCAGAGTTTAAGTTTATTTTCAATTAAATAAGTAAATATAGGAAGTTCAGTAAAGATCTGTCTGGTTTCTCATTTCTGTTCCTGAAAGGGAATCACTGGCTGAATGTTTTCCTCCTGAAGGCTGAATTAATCCTGAGTGACAGATCATTCAGACGAGGTATAAAATACTGTGATGGTTTCCATAAGCTGCTCGCTCGCTCTCTCCTGGTTGGTTATACAGCCTCCCTTTGTCTCTCTGCTGTAAATCGATGAAAGCCATCGTGTCCTGTTCTGCTTGGCTGTGCAGTAATATTGCCACTGAAGAGAAACGACCTGCCAGGCCAGCTCTCACCTCCAAAACCCTCCGACTCCAGCTGAGAGCCGCTTCACGCCACGCTCAGCTGTCGCAAAGGCCGCAACTGACCTTATCTCACTTAAATTAAGAGAATTCTAGTCTCACGTTCAGCCTCAAGACTTATCTTTCAAAAAACCCTTGTTATTAATGACACCGGTACCTGAACTGCAATCAGCTTCCCACACCAGACCCACGCCACGTAGCCAAGCCTCAGTCTACCAACGCCAGACCCACGCCACGTAGCCAAGCCTCAGTCTACCAACGCCAGACCCACGCCACGTAGCCAAGCCTCAGTCTACCAACGCCAGACCCACGCCACGTAGCCAAGCCTCAGTCTACCAACGCCAGACCCACGCCACGTAGCCAAGCCTCAGTCTACCAACGCCAGACCCACGCCAGACCCACGCCACGTAGCCAAGCCTCAGTCTACCAACGCCAGACCCACGCCACGTAGCCAAGCCTCAGTCTACCAACGCCAGACCCACGCCACGTAGCCAAGCCTCAGTCTACCAACGCCAGACCCACGCCACGTAGCCAAGCCTCAGTCTACCAACGCCAGACCCACGCCACGTAGCCAAGCCTCAGTCTACCAACGCCAGACCCACGCCACGTAGCCAAGCCTCAGTCTACCAACGCCAGACCCACGCCAGACCCACGCCACGTAGCCAAGCCTCAGTCTACCAATGCCAGACCCACGCCACGTAGCCAAGCCTCAGTCTACCAACGCCAGACCCACGCCACGTAGCCAAGCCTCAGTCTACCAACGCCAGACCCACGCCACGTAGCCAAGCCTCAGTCTACCAACGCCAGACCCACGCCAGACCCACGCCACGTAGCCAAGCCTCAGTCTACCAATGCCAGACCCACGCCACGTAGCCAAGCCTCAGTCTACCAACGCCAGACCCACGCCACGTAGCCAAGCCTCAGTCTACCAACGCCAGACCCACGCCAGACCCACGCCACGTAGCCAAGCCTCAGTCTACCAACGCCAGACCAACGCCAGACCCACGCCACGTAGCCAAGCCTCAGTCTACCAACGCCAGACCCACGCCAGACCCACGCCACGTAGCCAAGCCTCAGTCTACCAACGCCAGACCCACGCCACGTAGCCAAGCCTCAGTCTACCAACGCCAGACCCACGCCACGTAGCCAAGCCTCAGTCTACCAACGCCAGACCCACGCCAGACCCACGCCACG